CGAATATCCTAATGAAGAAGAAGACCAGACGCTGCTCTAGCTTTCAGAGGCACAGAACAGAGCAACGCTGCCGATGTCAGTCCAGGTGCAACCATATCTGAAATCGAATATCCTTTTTTTTTTTTACCAAAAAAACAAGCTCCATCTATTGGTGGGGAGCAGCACCTGCTGGAAACCGGGTCCAGCGTCCCATAGATACAACCATATCCTCACAAATTGGCACAAACTGGGAACCAGGCCCAGCGTCCCATAACGAGTACGTTCCGAAAACTCATCAAAAATTCCATGAAAATGAGACGAAGAACTACTATGAAAGACTGACTGCAGCGGAGCCACCATTTCTGCTGCTGCTATGCCATACTCCCATCCTACCAGCTAGCCCCCTCACTGGTAGGACGCGTGATAACCCGCCATCTGTTTGTTTTTTTTTTGTTTTTTTTTTTGGACAAACAAAATGCTCCATCTATTGGTGGGGAGCAACACCTGCTGGAAACCGGGTCCAGTGTCCCATAGATACAACCATATCCTCTTAATTTGGCACAAACTGGGAACCGGGCCCAGCGTCCCATCATCAGAAAATTTCATGAATTTAGGCAAGGAAATACTAGAAAAATCCAAACAGCAATTAGTGGAAGTCTTTCGAATGCTCAGAACCCCTAGAAGCTCCCCACAAAAAAACACTCTAAAGTTCTCTAATATTGTCCTCCTCCCTGCCGAGCTCTCCCAAGCCTCATGCCCCCACCCTGTTAGGTTACAGGGCAACACGACTCACCCCAGCTCCGGCCAGCGTCGTCCCGACAGCAACCCTTGGTTTTCCCTTGGAATGCCCGGCCCAAAGCATCCCCAGATCTCTCTACCAGGCCTCACGCTCCTGCTATTAACAGGTTACACGGCAATCCCCCAGCACCGGCCAGCGTCGTTCTGGCATCGAAAAAACAACAGATCCATGAGTAAACAGCATCAAGGAAACTTAGACTGCTTTGGAAGAAGTACCCAGAGCCCTAAACAATTCTCAAGACTACCAAAAATATCCAGAAACATCTCGAAACTGGCAAAGAAACTAGGGCCAGATTGAAAAAATTTTGAGGTGACTATGACAAAATTCAGAAATCGACTCAGAGAAACCCCCCATCAAACCTCTACACCTCCCTCCAGCAAGACTAACTGCAACATAGCCACCATCTCTGCTGCTGCTGTGCCATACTCTCATCCTACCAGCTAGCCCCCTCACTGATAGGACGCGTGATACCCCCCCGTTTTCTTCTCCCACCCACCCTATTTTCTTCTTAAGGTACGTCAGAACACATTACAGTAAAAAAGAGAGCATGAGAATAGGCCACAGGGGTCCTGCAAATGATCCAAAAAACGTTAAAGTCCCTCACACACCCTTCCGAAGTCATTCAAAACTGTCTTACTCCCTGCCGAGCTCTTCCAGGTCTCCCACCCCCATATCTAGCTGGGTTACAGGGCAACACGACTCATCCTAGCTCCGACCAGTGTCATCCCGGCAGTAACCCTTGGATGTCCCGTGGAATGCCCACCCCCAAAGCATCCCTAGATCTCTCTACCAGGCCTCATGCTCCCGCATTGCAGGTTACAGGGCAAC